AGATACAGAACCTTCCAGCCATATTCCAAAAGAGCCACTGCCAATTCCCTGAGATGGATCAATCCCTGGAGCTGGGCAGAAATCCCAGTCTGGCTGTCAAGCTGCTCCTTGTGCCCTCACACAAACCATCTGCTGTGATCTGGGCACCTCTGCAAGGGCTTCCTGAACCCAGCATTAGCAGCAGAGGCCAAAAGGGGATAATCCTCCAGGTTTACATGTCAAGGGCATCAGGGGAAAAMCATCCAAATTAAACTGTTGATCAAACTCTAGGCTATTGTATCACAGTGCTGGGATACACGACACAAAGGTGTGATTTGAGTTGGTGCTTCTCTGCGTATTTAGAACCGGAGAGCACAGCAGCACAGAAGCACCCTGAGGCCAGGTACATCCATCCTGTAGAGATGAGGCTCAAAACTCTGTTTATTCTAACAAGGTCAGTATTGTGGCATCAGTGACCTGTTCACATCTCTTCCCAAACCATTCCTGTCAGCAACCTCCAATCCTCAGTGCCAGCTCATTTCCAGYTCTGTACCCCACCCTCTCGGACATCTCCAATGCTGCAAAACCTGGAATACACAAAAATACCACAACATTTCCAGAGAACTATCAATCTATATCACATCAGATGGCTCCAAGGAGTCCAGAGTTCACCTGCTCAAACTCATCACATCTTAAACCCAGGCTATTCCTGAATTACAAACCTTAGATTTTTTTTTAATCTCTAAGGATTATTAGGAAAAGGAAACTTCTCAGGTTTTGGTATACACACACACACAAAAGCAAACGTCAACCACTGTCCTAATGCATCAGGGAGTAAGATTATTTTAATCATTAAAGCTCAAATCCTGAAACTCAGCCTTTCACACCATCTGTATCTTGTCCACAGTAGCATTAAAATATGTTACACCATTAATGCCTTCTGCCAGGGGCGGAAACAAACAGTGAAAATTGTTAAAGTAAATAGCAACTTTTCACKGTTGAGATGGGTCAATAGATCAGGCTAGTACTTGACCTCAAACGTGCCAAAGACCTTTGTCAACAATTCATCTAGAAAGGAAAACAGCCATTACCAAGCTGGAATTTAGCCCTGTGAAGCCACAATATCAAGCAGAATTGTGATTTTTTCCTACCACTAGTTTAATTTTATGCCAAGTTTCTCATATTATGAGCCATGCTGCTGTATACTCTGTGTGTGACTACCCAGGTGAGGTTCAAAAAATGAAATTCTTAATCTCTTAAATTAACTGTGGACTTCAGCATTAATAGCCAGCTGGGAAGGAGAAAAGCCAAAGCTCCTTTCTAAAATTCATTGCAGCACTATATCAGATCAGAACAGGAGGGATAAAAGACTGAAAACTGGGGAGCAAACAAAAGCAAAGCTTCAAAGTGAAGAAAAGTTGAATCTGTCACAGCAACTAAATTATACAAACAATTCATGATACATGTTGCCTTAGGATATTTTTAATGAAATTTAATTCTTCCGTGCCCTGTTCTGCTGGCTTATTTTTTGAGGCTAACCACTCTCTTGCTGGAAAGAACAGTTGCTGAAAGCAACAGCCGAGCACTCCAATCAGTAAGGCGAAGTTTAATAATTTCAGTACCTCTGCTGTGACCTTTAAATTTGCTGCACATTTTAACACAAATCCTGTGAACATCCRTGCCCTACAATTCAGAATCATCTACATCCCCACAAACGCTGTGGCTGCCAGGATCCCAGGTTCCTTCCAAGACACTGTAACACCAAAGGTGTGTTGAAATAACCACACCAGATCCCSAGCTCCAACACCTGAGGAGCCAGCACAGATCTGCTCCGACTTCTCTGGGAAAACAATGTGGYTTTGTTATTTTTCATGGACGAAAACCTGCTCAGGATCCCCTCAGACTGCTAAAAGAGGTTTCCAAGCAAATTTTAAGAAACATTATAAAAGCTGAAGGCAAACCCCCTGAAATTTCAGGTGCACCACTCTCCCCAGACGACCAGGATGGAATCAAGCGAGCCACTCGTCCTCCCTTCAGCACTCAGCATCCCTACTGTCCATGCCATTCATCAGCAGAAATGGCAATGAGCAGCACCATCCTACTGCACTGATATTGTAGGAGAAATTCTGAGAASATCAGACCAGGAAATGTGCCTGTGTGCCCAGGCTTTGCAGAGGCACAAGGATTTCTCCCCCACTTGGCAGTGAAGCGACGACCAACAGCGACAGAATTTTCTTGATGAGAACAAAAAGACAGCTTGGTTATTAATAAACAGAAAATAAACTTCCCCACTTGAGAGACAAAACGACTCAAACCATATTATGTCTGATTGACTTAATAGCTGCAATAAATAAAGAAAAGCAAAACCGTCGATTTGGCAAGCAGGCAGCTCTCACCTAAAACTGGGCAACAGCAGAGAGCAATTTGTGTTTCAAGGACTCCCTCCCAAGTAAGATTGTCCATTTTGTAAACATTGCTACAGGAGCAACACTTCACACAGTTTAACCCAATAATTACACAGAACAGTTCAATACTATCCCCCAGAGGTGAAGAGTAAAGAATGGATTAGGTTTTAATTAGTGAGCAGAACACTACTGCTAACTCCCAGCTGTCAGCAAGAGAGCTCCAGGATCCAGAAGTGGGGGGAAAGCAGGCAGGGGTAATTCCTCAAATACTTCTCCACCACAACAAGTCTAAACAGCTCCACAATATTGGATGCTGCTCATTCCTTCGAAAATTAAGAATTTAAGGTCAGCTTTGAAGGCTACTTATTTGCATCAACAGAAAACCAAGCAGAAGTAAGCTGAGGCTCAACAACATTGCTTCTCCGATCTCCTTACTCTCTGTCTGCATCACTATTAAATTGCTAATCTATTCACAAAAAATGGTAAAAAGTATTCAGGAAAAAACATAGTCAGGAAAAACCAGAGGAAGGAATTCCTTTACTCCAATGCTTCTTTCGTGAATGTTGCTAGAACTGCTGCTTCAGTAAGAGGAGATCCAGCGCTCCTTCTAAAAAAAAATACAACTAAGCAGTTGCAGATTTAAGTCTCATTTTAAAAGCTCCTTTTCCTCCCCTCATTACATTCTTTTTGTAAGCAAGGGACAGTTAAAACAAAGGTGAAGAAATTCACTCAGCCCACCATCTATTTCACATACAAAACCAATGGCTTTCCTGTACTTCAATGATAGCAGAGCACTGAAAATACCAGGAACCTGCTCTGATCACCCAAGATGCCCAAACAAATCTTAATACTCAACCCATTACCAGGCATCACTCCTAAAACACATAGCATCACTGATCAAGGGAGATCCATGCATATTATTTCACCTCTAAGACATGACAGGCAGGGCTTTTCCCAGCGGCTGCAGCAAGGCTGGTGCTTCAAAGCTTTGAAGCCAAAGGTCAAAAACTCTAGCCACTGATGAAATGAAAAAACATCTCCACTGCAAAGTCTGCATTCCTCTATTACCACAAAGCTGAATGCAGGCAATAATAAGGCAGTTATTAAACACAAAGAGTGGCAATTCACAGCAGGGAGGTTTAAAGATGCTCTCAATTTGCCTGTCACTGCTGAAAGCCACACCCAGCCACAGACTTGTACCTGACACTGCAGCTCATGCTGTCCAGTGAAAACTCCTGCCATCTCCAGACAACTGATAAAAGTTAATCCTTCCAACAAATAAATATTTTAATGCAAAATATACAGTCACCCACTTCCACTGCTGTGATAGCCAGAGCCTCTGTCTTTGCTGGCAGCTGAACGTCAGCTCTGAGCTTGACAGGATGTATCAGAAAGTCAAATTATCTCATTACACAAGTTTTTAATGGAAACACAGATGAATACAAATCAGAGCACCTCTGCAGGGAACTCCTATGACAAATCAAGTCTTTGTCACTAAATGAATGACACTCGATTAAAGAATTCTCCCCGAGCAAAAATAATTTCACCCGCACACCARGCACGTTTTTTCAAACGCAAGCAATTCCCTTTAATCCTTGAAAGCCCGTGTGCAGTGCAGTTATCACACAGAGGTACAACCACTTCCAATCAGGGCTGGATTAGGAATTATCATACTGGAAATCATCTYTCTCCACTAGCTGTCCTCTGGATTTCTGTGGAATTAGGCACTTGATCCCATTATTTTCCATAGAAGAGAGTCTGGAAAACAAACAKCTTACAAAAATCCCGAGAATATTGCTCAGTGCTTGTTTCATATGCACACGCTGCTGTAGCGTTGGTGCAAGGAAGGCGAGAGACACTGAAGAGCTACTGCAGAGCGCAAAACTTGGCAAGAAACAGGTGCTAAATTCGTACGAGAAGCACTGGGMGCGACGAGGAGGGAGGAGGCACATCCTCAGCTCCCGGCACAGATCCCTCTGCACCTGCTGCCCTGCGGGAAGCGACATTTTCCCGGGAACAGGCGGGTGGCTGCCAGCCCTGCCAGCACCGCTCGATTCGGGCTCCGGGACAGACAAAAGAGCGGCAGCGCCGAGCTGTAAATCATAAGCAGGATGGTTTTGCGCSGAGGGGCGACCCGCGGGGTCGCGTCCCTGCGCTGTCCCTCAGCGGGGATGGCAGCGGCCGTGCCGCGCTGCTGCGGCTGCGATGGAGCCGGGTGAGCCCGTGAGCGGCTCCGGTGTGCACTGCACACMCGCACTGACACACACACCCGTGCGTGCACACACAGGGACACAGCCTCACACACACTGCTGAATCCATAGACAGGCACATCCCGGCCGCTCTGGGCTCGCCAGCCCCGCGCCGGTCCCGGGGGCGGCCCGGTGCCCGCGGCCCTGCAGCACGGCCGGGCTGGGAGCAGCCGGGGCTCCGGGCTGCCACGGATCGCTGGCCACGGCTCCTGCCGGACACCCCCGGCCCCCGCCCCGCCGGAACACCCCTGCAACCGCCCCACCGTCTCCCCGCCGAGGGTCAGCCCCGCTGGGGCACCGCACCCCGGTCCCGGCCCCACAGGGAGGGAGAGCACCGGCGGCGCCCCCGGCCCGGCCCCGCGCTCACCGCCCGCCGCAGCCGCGTCCCTCTGTGGCCGGCGGTGCCGCCGCAGCCCCCGCAGCACAATATGGCGAGCGGCGGCTCCGCAATGGAGCTCGGGAAATAGAGGGGAGTTACATATTCATGGCCGGGGCTGGGCAGGGGGAGCGCGATCGGGGCGCCGCTCCCGGGCCGCYCCGCGCCCTCCTCCGCCCCCTTCCTGCACGGCCGGGGCCGCTCGCTGCTCTCCCCGCCCTGCCCGCACGTCCGCCCCGCCGCCGCCAGTGCTCCCATCCCTTCCCTTTTCCCGTTTCCGGGATGCGGCACCGCGCCCTGCGGGGCTCCCTCTCCATTGACCGCTATCCACGGCCGGAGCGGCGGAGCTGCCGGTTCAGATCGTGCGTCGGGAGAAATTCCTTCTCGGAAAGTGTGATTGGACATTGGAATGGGCTGCCCGGGGAAGCGGTGGAAGTCGCCGTCCCTGGAGGTGTTTATAAGGAAGGTTGGCTGTGGCACGGGGTGCCATGGCCTGGTTGACACGCTGGTGTTGGGCAAAGGTTGGACTCGTGATGCCAGCGGTGTTTGCCACAGGTTGGACTCGTGATGCCAGCGGTGTTTGCCACAGGCTGGACTCGTGATGCCAGCGGTGTTTGCCACAGGCTGGACTCGTGATGCCAGCGGTGTTTGCCATCGCGGTGACCCCGGGGTTCCGCAGCAGCCCCGGAGCGCGGGGCCGGACCGGGTGGGCCCGGGGACTGCGGGGACGGGGTTATCGCCGCAGGAACGGGTTATTGCTGCAGGGACAGGGTTATCGCCGCAGGAACGGGTTATTGCTGCAGGGACCGGGTTATTGCTGCAGGAACGGGGATACTGCCGCAGGAATGGGGTTATCACCGCAGGCACGGGGTTATTGATGCCTCACTCCCGTGTCCTTGGGCAGCGGTGGGGCTGTCACCGGGCCTGGTGGGCCCATGGGCTCAGGAATGGGGTTATCACCGCACGAATGGGGTTTTTGCTGCAGGAGCAGGGTTATTGCCTAAGGRACGGGGTTTTTGCTGCCTCACTCCTGTGTGCTTTGGCAGGAACGGGCCCCAGCCCCTCAGGACGGATGCCCGGCCTGGGACCGGCCTGTGTTGGGCCCCGTTCCCCGTTGCCCTCAGAGCCCACTCCGGACAGGGCTGTGCCCGCAGCCCGAGGATGTAGCTGGACCCGGGCAGGCAGGGCAGGGTGGCACGGAGCCCAGTGYCATCCCCACACATCCCTCAGACAAGGGACAGAAGCTGGGGAAAACTTGTGGTGCTTCTGTTTGGGATACAAAAATGCACACTCGGGTGTTTCGAACGTCTCCAGCCCGCTCCGTGCTCCCAACGTGAAATGAACGTTTTTCTCCCCGAGTCTTCACTTTAACATTTGGTAAATTAACATTGTTTTTATGAGCTTTGGGTCTTTAGAGGTGCCTTCACTGATCTTGGCATCAACTGTTTCATAGCAATAGCAAAGCAGTGCACTTAGTGTAATTAAATCTGGTGTGAGGAAAAAGTGAACAGAGATCAGACATGGCTTTGAATTAATACCTCAGTCTTTAATCATGCAGCAGCATAATTAAGATTATTCGATATGGAGTATTTAAGGCAACCCAATATGGAGTATTTAAGGCAATTCAGCATGAAGTGTAAGTTTTACTTGAGTGGTACAATTAGTCTTCTCATAATTAGAACATTTTAAAAGTCCTGGTTTGGACTTTCACCTCTCCTTCCAAAGCTTCACATAGTTTTGAGAAATTCTAACCCATGTCAGGTTATTGCTAAGTAACTGTTTTCATGGAGCAGCTTTCACTCCCTGACACTCCTTATGACCTACACTGCAGCCTATATTACTGACCCATACAAGAGTTTGCTAAGGTAGCCAGTGATAACATCTCTGTTTCCTAAGTGGGATCAAATGCCTCCAATAAATCTCAGAGGGAGTCAGCTGTGGACAGGATTTAATAATCCTTTTTTTTTGTTCCTGATTAGGTTCCTTAAAGAATTATTTTTCTGAAGTGGGTTGTGTTGAGCACTTTCAGTGTTCAAATTCAAAGCTGGTACAGAGTGAAATAAGAGATTCTGATACATTCCTCTCTTTAAAATGACAGTAGAGAGTCAATTCAGAACTAATGACTGATTTTTTTCTTGACATTTCAGCTTTGCATCAGTGCCAGGGAAAGGAAGGTGTTTCTGTCAGRTTATTGTTGTACCAGGATTGCCTTTTGGTGAAAATTGCTTCACTTGTTAATTGTCTGCAGTACCGAGGTGAGTGAAGAAATTCTGATGTTTATGTTCCACTGTTAYTAAAATCTGTTCTGTGGGAGAAGAGCTTAATGCTGCACAAATCAGATTTGCAGAGTGAGAGAGTGCAGTTTTCAGGAAGGCAGATCTGCAAAGGCAGATGGAGTGCAAAGTGAGTGGGAATCCCTGAATTCCAGAATGGTTTGGGTTGGAAGGGACCTTAAACTCATCCCATGGGCAAGGGTACCTCCCCACTGTCCCAGGCTGCTCCAAGCCCCARTGTCCAGCCTGGCCTTGGACACTGCCAGGGATCCAGGGGCAGCCACAGCTTCTCTGGGCACCCTGTGCCAGGGCCTGCCCACCCTCACAGGAAAAAATCTAGTCAAACGCAAAACTACACAGTGTAAATTAGCAAACTATGAACATTTCTAGGAACCTTTTGCTGAAAGAGAACCCAAAAGAAATTCAGCACAGTTAASCTGTGCAAGTGGTGTCCAGCTCACCATATTTGTAAGAATATTTATTTGATTTTGATTTATGTTTCCTGTATGATTTAATAGGGGCAGCCTAACCCTCCAGCCCGAGTTACCCSCTCATGCTGTGATCCTGCACACCAGTGCAGACAGGAGAGCCTGGGAGATGGATAATATTGTATTTCAATACAGTACAATGCTCTGTTGGGAGCAGTTTTGTTCTCCTCTGCAGCAGGAGAGCTGAGAGAGTTTTCATCAGCTCCTGCTTTCCACTGACCTGCTGCAATGGAAATATTTTTCCTGTTCCTTGCAGCAGCGAAATAATGGCAAAGAGAATTACTCCAGCCAGCTGAGAAATTGTTTCCATGTCATCCTTCTAGGTAAAATATTTATTACCTTTTAAAGTGATTGAAGGTCACCCATTCACTTACTTTCAGAAACCACCATAGAGAGAGAAGGAGGAGAAAATACTCCCATTAAAAAAAATCTGGAGGCAGGGAACTGTAAATAGGAGGCAGAAGGTGCAGAAATAAGAAGAAAATGTCCATGTTAGTGCATTACAAATAAAGCAGAGCAAACAATCTATGTGATCTCCARTGGAAAATGTTTGATACTGTGAGTGGGAAGGAAAAGGAATTAAACAAGATTGCTCTGCACAAGTTGGTATTGTGGCTGTAGGGTTAAAGGCTTGGTTWCCCCTCCAGGGCATCCCCAAAATGTTGATGTAYCTGACTCTAAGGGAGCCTTAAGAASCYCATGGCTGCAATGCACTGCTCRAGCAGGGAGTGAGCAGGGACATCGAATCCTCCTCCTCCTCTGACGGGAACAGTGGTAGGCCAAGTTCTTTAATGCAAGTTGTTTATAAGAAGGCAGGGAAAAAATATTTTAACTCTAAACTCTCAATACAGCCCAAAATCTCTGGCAGTTGTATGGGCAGGAGGTGTTCCAGTGTAGGAACAAKGTGAGCAATCCCACAGCCACAGCTAGGGAACAACTACTGATTGGTARTAATTCAGAAATATTTTGTATTTTCCAGGTAGTATTTTCAGAGCAGCATTCARCTGCGTGGTTCAGAAAGTGATTGTATCAGCAAAGTAAAAACTGAAATCAAAACTGGCCAAGACTTGGAGGAGCAGCTGCAAGGGAACATTATCTGCTTCATAAAGTGAAGTTTCAGGCAGTGATCAAAGGGTTTTGCCAATTTAATAATTGAAGGATAGTTCACACCCCCTCAAATTACAGAAAAAGGTGTCTGAAATTTGGATTCTTCAACATTACACAAGGCAAACCCCAAACTCACTTAGACTGAAAAAATTCATGATGTTTCAGAGTATTGGTTCTTTGAGTAGACATTTTATGTCTCCTTAGCTTGGGAAATGTCCCCAAGGCAGATTAAAACATTGGACTAAAATAGAAGAGATGGCTCATTAGTGGTATTGTTTGCAAACATGKGCTTAACTGGACTTTTGGAGAAGGGTAGCATGCACCTAATGGCTGGTGTTAAATCTGCATTTATATTTAAGACAGTGTATTAACAGGTGTAGGGAGACAGCATGTAATCATGTAATCAGATGATTAGCTTATTACAAATATTTTCMTTTGCTGGGATTTTTATTTCAGGCTTTACCTTTATCCGTTTAATGCAGCAAGGTAATTAATTACACTTATTTAAAACATGTTGTTTATCCACCACAAACCCAAATTTTCCTTGTAACTCCTTTTTTACTATTTTAATTACAATTAGTGGATTGAGGGTAAAGAAATCTCTGTTTAGTTGGGTTTTTTACGTTGCTTCCTCAAAAGATTTTGCACATCCTTTCAGAAGGGCCTAGGTAGTGTCAGGGCAAAGAATGCAGGATGCTCCAGCTCTGGTGCCTAGCAGAGGTAGTTTGAACTGAAATAGGGGCACGATTAAACCTTTTTACAGCTTTTTAATTTGTCATTCAGCAAACAATCACTGTCCTGCTCTCTGCAGTAAGGAAACCAGGGCAGTTAAAGCCTGTCAAATGCAGAGAAATTCCCTACATAGCATTTTGAAATTTTAAAAAATAACAAAAAACATGTCGCTGTTGGCTAGACAGCAGACACAAAATGACGGACACAAAGACACACATATACACACACAAAAAGTAACTACTTTATTCTGAGACAAGCCTTTTTTATCCACTTTAGCAACTAGTGTATACATTTGTGTCAAACATACATTAATTAATGAAACTATCATTTTCTACCCATCAACATATAATTGGTAGGTTTGCAGAAGCTACAGTGTCGTCAATGTTTTTAGTTTGACCACCTGCGTTATCAATTCTACATTCTGATCTCTTTTTCTCAAAGCARCCAAAGACATAGTGCTTTTCTCCCATGCAAGCTGTTAACGCTCCCTACAAAAACCTACATAGAAAGCGTTGCAAAGATAAGGTCAAAGATTTCTGAGGGTGGACGTGTTTGTGGGATTAACTACAAGCTGAGACTAAACCACAGTTAAGCTGTCTCTTGCACTGATGAACTTCTCATTTGTGGTGAAAAATTTGTGCCCTGGAAAACAAATTTAGCACGGGCTGTTCTCATCCTCGGGCTGTGGGCAATATTTTAAATAYGTGCAATATTTTGRGGGTGTGACACAAGACAGCACAACAGGAAGGTTAGAAAAAGGAGAATATTGGGAGGGAGAAGCAATGCCTGCACATGCACACAACTTCTGGGATCCAAAACGGGAGCT